AAAGTTGAAAATAGATTTGTATAGTCAAAATAGCAGTAATACATTTTTGAAAAACAAATATTAGCAGTAATACATTTTTGGAAGAAAAAAAAGAAAACAAAATATTGCCCGCAATACATAAAAAGATATTACCAGCAATACCTTGTTCAAAAGGAGAAGGACGTTAGGAGCAATGCATTTTTGGAAAAAATACATATTCTATTCATACGAACCTGTCCTAAAAATCTTGTCGGCATTAAATAATCCACTGAGGGTGATGTGCTGAAAACAAAATAAACCAAACCAAATAAACCAAACGAAGACATAAAATCGACCATTGCATTAAAGGCTTCACGCTTATTTTCGTTAAACCACTCTAGACTTAGCAATGGAATATTTGAAGCCGCCATCTTTTCTTTTTTAAACAAAACGAGAAGAAAAGAAAAACAAAATTCACATACTGCATATACTCGCGTATCATGTGACCTTTGAAAACCTAATTTTGAAGCTAATTTAATTACAGTAAATGGATATATAGGTTGTCATCAGTATATACGCTAATTTTATATCTCGTGTATGATGCGACCCCCAAAAATGAGGTCTTTAAAGATTGCATGATACGCTAATATATACGGTATATATCGTGCTATTATCACTACTGTGATCATTTGAGTCGCCCTTGACACTTTATTTTTGACTGATGCGATTTTCATCGCTTCTGCCATGTGTCATTTCGTCAAACACGTGGTGCTGCTATATGCTTTATTTCGCCATCTTGGCTTCTTCAATAATCCAAGCGACACAACCCATGAACGCTAAAGAGTTCCTATGGCACAGTAACTACATAAATTGAACAATTTTCGATTAAAATTCAGTCAAAGGACAGATGAACGTTCTTTGAAAATCTATCATAGTGGTGCAGACTGGTCTCCATAGCTATCGATTCAGACAGTGGTGTCATGACACGACATTACTGGGCGGAGGGCTTCCTAGACAAAAGTCAATGGCCAGGATTGAGGATTCCCCGGATGGAATCAATGTCCGCGTGTTCGTGACCAAAGGCATGCATTCCAGTTGGAGGACATCGGCTGTGGTTTGACCCAGAGAGGGAAGGACTCCAACAGTTCTACTTGCCCAAGACACACTAGATGCAAATAGATAACTCTCTGGCTTTCAATCCAGATATGTGGAGAGAACTAATCAGGTGCTCAGGCACGACCCTACGACACTCGAACATAGGACTGAAAATAACGACTATCAATAACTGCCATGCGACGGTTTGTTGATTGATTGTTTTTGTCTTTTATCATTTCATCCAATATCATTTCATCAAGCAATAAAACCCCTAAGACGCAAGAAGTTACAGGGTGTTAAAGAACTCGAAAAGAAGGAATACATAATTAACAAGAGAGAAGAATAAATTAACAGGAATTAAGAAGACAGAAGATAACGACTGAAACTGCATTTAAATTTTTGAAAATCTAAGTTGACAGGAAAGACACCGGAAGAGAGTTCTACAAGAGATAAGTTTGAGAGGAAAAACTGTTAACATAGAACTTACAGTTACAGCTGGCAAATTCAACTGTAAAATGATGAGACCTAACTGCCAATTCAGTACTGTGCTTAAATTCGTTGTGTCGAAGTACCAAAAAGAAACGAACAATTACCATAAAAATATTTATAGAAGAGACATAGGGAAGGTACATTACGTCAGTGTGAAAGTGACTGAAACCCTTTGATTTCATTAGTTTGTTACTAGTTTAATAATACACAGAGATTGTACAAACGCTAAGGATCTTCTATTGTAGTGGCGCTAGTAAAAAAAACTTTAGAGTTTGCTATATTTGATAAAACTGACTTTATAGAAACCCAGATATGGAAAGAAAAAGGATATCAGACAAGTATTCCATTTTTCAAATCGTCTGACCACATCCAGAAGCATGACTTACGGCATTTAGCCTTCTATGTTGAAACACTGGGCACTCAAAAGGCAGGAACAGATGACCCTGCGTACAAATAACCAGAAAAAAAAACTCTCTAGAACGCTTTACTGGTTGCATTTATGTATGTTTTCCCTGAGTAAATTCACATCAGCGCCTAAAGACGTTGGCGCAGTTGATTACATGAACCCACAACGTGCAGTTAGTCATGTAATTAGGCATAGTTGGTCACATGTCTTACTTTAATCAAGCCATTTTATTGAATATGAGAAACCTATCCTATGATCACGTCAACCATTGCGCTTTTTAGTCTCGATGTTGAAAATATATCATCTAAATATATTGAAGGTAATTATACCTTGAATGACTAAGACATACGTTTTCTGAACATGAGACTCGGATCTCAACGAGGTCAATTTGTCAGGAAGGAAACTTTCTGATGTTATCGGTCTGGAGAGAGCGATCTCAGCGCGCGGCATCTTTGGAACGTGTCTGAAAACCCTACTACAGATTGACCCAAGCTTTTTGAGTGAAAATTGGGTAGACGGTACCCTTGGGGACCGTCGAAAGTTGTGCTCGAAGTCAGAAATCATCGTGACCGAGATTTTCAATGTGCTAGCCTTGATCTCCCAGAAACTGCAACTAAGGTCTGCTCAGCATAGTTGCAGTATAAACCACAGGCGGGGTTTGTGTGTGTTAAACAAACACAAATGTACCTGAGTGAGAGTCTGCAATAGGGGTTGGCTAGCTGCCCTAGTAGACAGGTATCCTCGAATACAAGTGGCCGATTAGAGGATTATACCTTGCATATGGGCTCGATTCTCAGTAAGCGTTTCAGTGATATGGTGCGGTATCAAACAAGATTGAACTTAATATATTCATATTATATTATAATTCTACATCTTTCTCCCTACTCACGTCCGTTTCGCTTTGCCGTTACCCCTGATAAATAATGGACCATCCAGGTTTGATTGTGAGGACAGATGGAAGAAAACAGATTTATCAGTGGCACCTTTAGGTTTTAATAAGAAAAAGAAAGCAGATATGATAAAAAGAACATAAAGAAAAAGAAGATGGAAAAGAGAGATGGAAAAAAAAAGATTCAGTGAAATTGTAGAACTATCAATTTTGAATCATTTCATTTCTAGTTTCCTGTTGCCCTCTTTATGGTTTTAAATTCAGAGATGATCTCCTACACTGGCTACCACCTATGACTAAGGAGTCCAGTTTACTCTGCTATTTGGCCCATAGCTGGTGGTGAAAAGATAGCATCATGCCTTTCCAGGAGGTATTACTGTGAACTGAATACTTACAGACGAGGACGGAATTTCTTCGTCGCTATCAGTCACGCTGTTTGCAGTTTGGTTTATTCATTTGACTTTCGAATCATTATAGCAAAATAGAAACAAAGGTTTATTATAATAATTCAAATTCCAAACGCTGGATATGCAGTTAGTTTAAACAATATCGGCGCAGTACGTGATATCTGTCCTCCTTTACGGCAGCAAATGTTGGACGGTATTCTCAAAGATGAAAAAGAGACTCGAGACAACAGAGGTGTGGTTCTACAGAAGGATGCGAAGGATACTATGGACCAAACATGTGAGCAATGATGGGGTTTTGGAGAGGATGTATACAAAGAGGAAACTTATACTTAACATCAGGAAGAGGCAGCTGAAATTTCGGGGACACGTAATAAGAAAGGAGGACTTGGAAAATCTGATACCCACAGGGCGGATAGAGGAAAAGAGGACAAGGGGAAGTAACACTTAACGGGCCTGAGAGAAATAATAAAAAGACAAAACTTACTGAGACCTACAAATATGAAAAGAAATGGTGAGTCATGATCGCCTACGTCCTGTAGGGACACGGCAGATAAAAGAAGAAGAAGAAGCTGAAAAGCCGAGTTCAAAATCCGGCTTAGTCCCCTTTATTCACTTTTGAACTAATGCCCTTAGGAAATGTAGTTTATTAATGCTTTCTTTTCAGCTATGAGTTAAAGAGTAGGATAACTAGAGTCTCTAGCCTTGGATGTTAGCCAGTCTAGGAGATGGACTAGTCTGAATTCAAGACAGTTTAGAAGATAGTGGGAAACCACTGCATTATTATTTCCCAAGAAATCATCTCAATTCACAAATAATGAAAGAAAAATGAAACTCTGGTGAGCTGCGTTTCACTGAAGCGACAGCATTTTTAAACTAAAAAAAAAAGAACGTAGAACATTTTAATGACCGAGCAAAAATAAAACAAACGAAAAATGAAATAATCATTCTCATCCGCCTTCTCCCTTTTCTTCTCTTCCGTTTTCTTCTTCTTGCCCTCCTTTTACATTTCGCCTTCCTCTTTCTTCTTTCTTCCCTTCTCCTTCTCATGTTTCTACTTCTTCTCATCCTTATTCTGCTCAACCTTTTCATTCTTTTCTCTTTCTCATCCTCCTCTTCTCCTCTTCCTCTTCTTTCTACTCCTCCTATTCTTTCTCCTCCGCCTCCTCTTTCTCTTTTCTACTCTTCCTACTCTTTCTTCTTCTCAGCCTCTTCTTTCTCTTTTCTTCTCTCCCTCTTTCTTCTCAGTATTTTTGTCTTTCTGCTCATCTGCATTTTCCCATATAGTCATCATTAGAAATAAAACTTTAAATTTATTATCATCAATAATGATGATGCTCTTCACCCAATACAACCCTTTGGCACGCCCATTCTAACTAAATACACTAGTACTACAGTTACACATTAATAATTGATTTTACTGTAATTTTTACAGTTACAACGTATACGAATAGAAAGTGAAGTTAAAAACTTGCTGACGGTTTAAGGTTTAAAAATCAATTAATCTATCTTCATAACGTTAACCTAGAGACATTAACAAAAAAGTGCGAGATTTTTCTGTTCCTCAAACCACAATCAAAAGTATCGTATATCTTTAGCGACGATACGGTTCATGTCATAATCTTGACTGAAGAAACATCTCATTACGTTTTTATGCCGTGTACACAACGATAAAAAAAGAAATCTGCTCTGTGCTAAGTAACAGGTTGTATAGTAGCGTTTTAAAAAGAAAAGAAGAGAGAGCGAGGTGAAAGTCATAATGCTTTTCTTTCTTTCTTTCTTTCTTTCTTTCTTTTTGTTTATCTGTCTTGCGTCTTTCTTTTTTTCTTTGCCTTGGTCTCTACTACGTTTCTTTTTTATTTATTTTCTAGTTGTCGGATACTTACACACACAGGGTTTAAACTTTCACTCCTGTTTCTGTTCCTCTCATCGCAACAGGAGGGAAGTTGTGGGTAGTTATCATAAAAACGCTCTATTCGAACTACATAAACACTAAACAGTAAACATACACACACAGTTACACATATACATACATATAACTACAAGGTAAAATACGCGTGGTGTTAGTCTAGCGTTTTAGTTGGTGTCTTTCGTTTCTTTCACTCTATTGAAGGGACTGTTGTTGGGTTGACGGGGAAGAGTTGAGGTCTTCGCGCTTGACGGACCAACGTAGGCAGAGTAACAGAGAGATGACGACTACTACAAGTTCAAGAATAACGTCTGCTTGGACACTACCATTAGTATTTAGCATATGTCTATTTCAATTACAAGGTAATTTTTTTTAATGTTCCTTGTGATTTTTTATTATTTTTTCTTGAATTTTAATTTTACATAACCTTCCTGTTCCACTGTGTTCTCTCTCTCTCTCTCTCTCTCTCTCTCTCTCTCTCTCTCTCTCTCTCTCTCTCTCTCTCTCGCTATTATTCCTTGTCTTTTTCTTTTTCTTTGCCATTTTTTTTCTCTTTCTTTGGCTGAAGTAAAAAATAAGTCCATCTTTCTGGACCGTACCTAATTTTCGTATCGGTGTAACTGTAGTGTACTACTGTCTGCCACCTTCGTGATCGGTTCGTTTCAGAATACAAGGACCGTCAGAGTTTCAAACCTACGGACGGGCAGATACGTTCGGGCGAACCTACATATCTTGTCAAGAACATAAAGAACTCCGATTCCAAATTTGAGCTAAACAAACGATATCTTCAATCAGTTACAAATCTTCAAATCGACAGATCTTGTGTGGGAAATACAATTTTATTTTACATTTATTTGCAATGCGGTACTAACAATTTAAAAATAAATTAAAAAGAGAGAGAAAGTTACGGCTAAATGGCGAAAGATCCGTCTTACTTTTAAGTTTTAGTTCACCAACAAGGAACTCCATATTCTACCCAAAGTCTAAAAACCATGCCTTTACCTAGCATTCGTGAGTCTAACTGATTCGTATCAATTTTTAAATTACCGATTCAAATATCTTTTTAGTCGATAGAGGGTAATAGCGTGGCTCAGCTGGTAAAGCCGGTGGTTTTACTACTGTCTTCTTGGGTCATCATAAGGAAATTCTACTATAAACTAAAAAAAGTTATTTTTTTATTACATTATCTCTAAAGTACTCGACATGAACAAAAAAAAAGTAATATGGCTCATTTACTTTTTAAGTTTTTAGTAATAACGCTGTTTTTAACTTCTGGTTATTTTTTTTTAAAACTGCGATAAACTTTCATTGATAGGAGCACGTAGAATTTACAAAATTCCTAGCATGAATTATCTTTAACGGCATTTTGTCTTACATTCCAAATTTGACCAATATCGCGCAACTTAGGTTTGGACTTTGGATTAATGTTAGATTGACACAAGGTAGTTGAAATGGGGCACCCAGTGAGAATGGAACTAACTACACAGGCGATAAAAGTCTGCTAATTATCGTGCAGTTGTAGGCGCCGTGATCACTTCGATCTTGTATCTGTATTTTTTTTGTTTTGTTTTGTTTTTATAAAATCTTTTTTTTAGAAGATTGAAGACATCGACATACTCCGGTTTAATCAGCTGAGAATTTTTTGCTTCAATTTTTTGTAGTGAAGCTGGCAAGTACCAGTCTTAGATAGGGTTGATATATTTATTTCTTCTGACATTATTTATTTATTTAATCTTCAGTGATGTTTAATTTGTTTTTTGTTCATATTGAAATATATCGAAATTATTCAGTTAAACAACTTTTTTTAACTGAAAACCAGGAAAAGTTTTCATATTTTTTTTTTTTTTTTTTTTTTTTTACTTTCTTACAGAAATGTATTTTTGAATATTGGTTGCTTTGATGGGAGAATCCGCATTGATTTGCACGAAACGTTTTTATTAAAATTATTACACAAGTTCGCTGAACCATTTCTTAAATCCCCTTGGACTTTGACTGAGGTATAAAAAAAAAAACGAAAGAGATCTGATTCCTAATTTCATAGACAAAAGATTGGGGATGTAAAAGAAGAAAGAACCCGTTTCCCAAAAATAAAAAAAAATTTTAAAAAACTGGTCTTAAAAAACTCGAAAGTTAAAATTATTTTATTCACATTCATAGTATAACCTCCCCGCCACTCTTCCTCCTCCTCCTCCCTTTTTGTCGTTGTCGTGTGTCCTTTCAGGACATGGGTGATCATTGCTCTCCACAACCTCCTATCCTTTATAGCCCTCAGCAAAGTTTGTCTCTTTGCCAAGCCTCCCGCCGCCAGTTCTACCATCCATTCACACACGCTCATAAGCTAGGTGGTCCACTGTTTGCCCACAATATGCTCTGTGCTATGAGTGTCAAATTCTCCAAGCCCTCCTTTCTCATTATGTGTCCAAGACGTTTCACCTGTTTCTTTTTTTTTATTCTCTGTGTAAGTGATTTTATTGTTTCTCTTTTCCTTAAGACTTCTTCGTTACTTTCGCGCTCCGTTTATGAAATTCTCAGCATCCTTCTGTAGAACTACATTTCTGTTGCCTCAAGTCTCTTCTTCATCATCTTTTTCTGTGAACAGATTGTCAGTATTTACTGCCATACATGAGGATTAATATTATATAACAGTTCAGCACACTTTTCTTTGTTTCTGGTGAAATTTTCCTGTTTCTTATTACTTTCTTTAGCTTTTGGAAGGCATCTTTCGCTAATCCAATACGCGTTGAGATTTCAGTGCCGCATTTTCCATCCTTTGATAAAACACTTCCCAGCTTATGTTCTGTACACTAGCGTAAAATCTAAACAAATAAAAGTAAAACAATTAACTAGTTGACGAAATCGAATCTATTTTTTTAAGAGCTGATTCTCTATCCGTTAAACACTGGCCGCATGTGACGCGTATGTAATGCATATGTGCGTGTCTGTTTTTTATGCAAGAGTAGCTTAAATGTGCAACTGTTATCACTGATAGTGGCGTGGTCTTCATGTCCACATTAACTCAATTTTTGTTTCTAGAATTTTTCTAGAATTTCTAGAGAAGGCGTTTCTTTTGGTGGGACAGATTCATCAATGAGCAGACAAGTTCTTTCTTTCTTTTCTTTTTTTTCTTTTCTTTCACGTCTATATCAGGTCTGATGGCCTCAATTTCTTTATAAGTTTGGGTTAGCATGTTCCTGAGAATAGTTTTTTTTTTTCTTCTTCTTCTTCTTCTTCTTCTTCTTCTTCTTCTTCTTCTTCTTCTTCTTATTATTATTATTATTATTATTATTATTATTATTATTAATGATAATAATAATAATCTTCTTAATATTACTATTGTTTTTGATTTCTGGTGTGTACTCATTTCTTTCCGGGTCCCGACCAGAGACCTAAGGTCAGAAATATTATCATGACATTTTTCACTGAGCAATTTAAAACGCACACACACATTTTACATAGACAAAGTCCTTCGTAAGGTGTGGGTTGTACTCGTGAAAATAATTTTTTGTATTTCTTTAAAGCATGGGCTACCAGAAATCTCTTCAATGAGTCAAATCAATCTGAGGGCTCCACTTACAATAGGAATTGTTGATGTTCTCATGTGCCACATTTTTGAGATTTGATTCCAAGATCCTTGTGTTTTGATAGCTTTTTGAAAACCTTCAAAGATACATTGCATATCAATAAGAAGGCACCTTTTTTTTTATTGTGGTTTCTAATAACGATGTCTGGGCGATTAGCTTTGATTGTTCTGTGGGTGTGTATTGTTACAGGTCCTATCTCCATAACCGTGTTTCTTTCAGTTTCCTTTCCGTAGGAGTTGCAGATTTCCCAATGTAGATATTGGCCCACTCTGTAATGATGTGTTTTATATTCAGTGGGTAACAATACCTCGCAACCTGATAAAAGATGGTCAATTGTTTCTGGATATTTATCACAGAATCTGCATTTTGGGCTAACACAATTTTTTAGTATGTGTGCTTGATAATTTATAGTTAACAAACATTGGTCCTTTGCAGCAAGAATAAAGCCTTCGGTATCAGCATTTAACCCTACACTACGTAGCCACTGATGGGTAAAGGGTTTGTCTACATCAGTTTGTTTGGTACGGGCAGAGTTTCTTTAAGTATTTTGCAGCTTCAGTCGGTGCTTTACTTGTATTTCTTCACCTATTATTATTATTATTATTGAACGATAGCGCAGTACGCCAATAAAGAGATGCTGGGTTACAAATATATGAAGCCCAGTGTCATGACACTCGCTCTGATAAAAGTATACCAAGCACATTTATCACTGCTAGATGTGCGCGATATGGTGACAGGTTTTGATAAAGGCAGTGCATAACCTTGTAAGTGGAGCCAAGTTAGAAATACTTTCAGGTCGGGTAACCCAGTCCATTCAGACGATCTCCGATGGGAGATATTTTTAAGTATCTAGATGTGACTCCCAATGAATAGAGATTCACGATGCTTCAAGACTGACAACTAACACGTAGATGTGTGATAATGAACGGGATATTCACTGTAGACTATATTAATTCATGAAAATAAAACATATGTTGACACCTTCAACCATTTAAGATCAGAAACCACGAGAACCACGTTTGATGTAGCAACGGTTCATTTATTTTTATTATTTTTATTATTATTATTATTATTATTATTATTATTTTTATTATTATTATTATTATTATTATTATTTTTATTATTATTATTATTATTACTATTATTATTATTATTATTATTATTATTATTATTATTTCCTTTGATTCTTACTGTATATACATTTTCATTCGGGTTCCAACCAGACCTAAGGTCAGAAATGGCTTAATGACATTTTCCACTAATCATTTTTATATATATAAAAAACTAAGATCTCACACGTTTTACTACATAGATAAAACTCTTCGTAATGTGTGAGTTGTACTTGTGAGTACAATTATTATTATTATATTATAACAATTTTTTTAAACGATAGAACATGCCCAACTTAAGCTTAGCTTAGTTTGGTCCAAGGTTACAAGTATGGAGCACCCGATGAGGATGAAGTTACTACTTTGTTGTAGTGGTTAACAACCAGAATAGCTAACTCACCATTATTCCAAACAGAGGCATCTCAACTGATATACATGTTGCTATAATTCTAAGATTTACTTGTTAACTCTAAGAGTCCCAGGTTGGAACCGTGGTAAAAACCAAAATCTAAAATGTTGATTTTTCAAATCAGGTAAAATTTAAATTCTTGAAAGATTAGAGTAACACAATCTTCCTATCCGATCCAGTCCTAACCCTAACTTTTAAAAAGAAATCGAAATAGAGCAACAATTCAGAAAGTTAATAATTACACTATTGCGTCAGTTAAGACA